CAGCCAGCCTGCGATCTGCAAGTGGACATGGTAAAAATTAACGTCGTTAGTGTGTTAACGTACCAGAAAACTCGAAGAAGCATGTGAAGCAGTGGATTCCATATGAGCGCCATACGAGCATTTAGGTGTCAATAGCCAGCCAGTGGCTAACAAAAGGGGCATACTATTACATATACCTATTATATTATTCGTGTTAAGCAAGTAGTTATTTTTTTAATATGTACACTAGCTGACAGCCGCTCGCTGCAAGCATGTAATTTACGTATTATTTTCAATTCTTCTTTTGTATCCATATATTTCCTAGCCATCTTTTTACCAATAAACTGATACTGAAGTGTTGAGACGAGTCCGCACGCAGCCGGCTGTGGCGTCCATAATGCAGAAGCACGTAGTCTGTCCCTAGTTAGAGTTGGAATAAGAGAGCACTACTTCTGAGGAATTTTCCTTCTTCTACCGGCCAACGTTGGCTGGTGTTTCGCAAAAAGTAACAGCCAGGAAAGGCGGATTACCCGTTGCAGCCTAGCTGCTGACTACCTGGTGCGTCTACGGGTGGCGGATAGTGGAACGGCCTTCAGGTAAGGTCAGCTGCGAAATAAACAGGCTTTCGAGTGTGGTAAATAAGCAGTCGCTGACTAGCAACGACAGTGTCAACGGGGCGCGGAGGGCTGAGGTATAGCGCAACTACTGCCCTATAAAATGCTGCAAATTCCCATAACAAGACTGTGACACTAGGCGACCGTGAACCAAGATCAAATAGTTTTGCTTGCGACCCCTGCCAAAGTACTGGAGGCAAAAACCTTAAACAAACAATCCGAGCGGCTGTTAGGGACCTGACTGTATTTCAAATCCCCAAGATCCCTCATGCGCATGTCTTGAGGCCGGCTAGATCAAGTTTGATCACAGCCATAGCAAGTGTAAAGTGCCAGCGGCGAGTCGACGATAGTAGCTACGCCAAAAACGGCGACTGCAACGTTACTATTATCTCATACATCACAACAGCAACAGCACATATCTGCTACCCTTCCGCAAGTCTTGTTAGCAAATAACTGGAACTAACAAATACGGGGGTGATTGGAATGGCCATTTCTGGCTTATTAGCCGTCATCAACCAGTAGGCTCTACTTCATCTCCTATTACAAGTGGCTATGCGTCTGCCTTCGAGGGCTCTAGATTGAGCTCTAAGGAAAGAACATGTTACCTAAATAGATCGGTGAGCGCCCTTCTATTCCCGATCGAAAGCGACAAAAACAACGAGCCCACGATGCAATGGTAGATTGTTGCACTCAATGACCAAAGGTCGCAGGTTCGAATCTCGGGGCTCGCACCCCTGAGATTGGGCATGAATGGCTGACGACAGCTAATAAGCTAGTAAGGGCCGTTCCTGTCTCCCTTGTGTTTGCCGGTTCCATTTCATCCTATATATTCCAATTCGCTACGCGTCTGCCTACGAGGGTTCTAGATTGAGCTCAAAGACATAACGAGGTATGTTCCGTAACCAGAGAAATCGGTGAGCGTCCCACTATCATCAGTAAATGTCAGTATAATTTATTCTATAACTTACTATTATAATAGTAATGTAGCCTGAACTGGCTGTTTATCAGAGCAATGTACAGTATAAATATAATGACAAAAGGCAAAATTCCCACCTCTCCCTCGTCCGGATAAGGTGCCACGCATATGGATTGAGGGTCATTTGAGGGGTCGCGTCGTGGGAGACGTTGATAGAGTTCCTCAGTCACGAAGGGCATGAAGGGGTGCAGCATTCGAAGACCCAGATCGAGACAAGTATAAACCACATGCTTCACTGTCTCAGCACGCTTTTGGGCCTCAGCAGAGCAGCCGGGCTCCAGTTTGACAAGTGGCTTTGAATAC